CCGCCGCCATCTTGCGGTCCCGCGGGGGCGCCTCCTGGTGCTGCCCGCGCTGCTGCCCGCGCCTGGCACTTGTCCTTGGCCCCCGAGGGCCGTCGGGCGTTGTCTGGGAGGGCGTGGGTGGGCGGTGACCTTAGAGCTTGCGCTCTGGTCTGCGGTGGAAAAAGGAAGCTGTGGGGCTGGCGCAAGTACGTCCGTCGCTCTCACCCGCTGTCAGAGGCGGTGGGAGGCGAGGCAAGACAGCGGCGCGGCGGCCCTGGAACTAGGTTCCGAGAGAACCATTCCATGGCCTCCACTGCTTCCGTCCGCCTCTGAGAACGGCCTGGGTGGAGCCTGCCCTCGGCCCTCGCCAAGGGTGCCGCTTCCTACCTTTTTGCCCCGTTTATAAGTCAGCCGTCGGGTACTTCGAGCGCTAGGGAGGCGGAGAAGCCCATGAATCTTCTGGTTATGACTTACGCTGTTGTGTTGGCAGAGACCCAAGAGCGTGCGGGCAGGAAAGCTCTGCGTCAGTCGGAGAATTGATAGTAGTAGGTTAATAGTAGATTTCTTCCTGGTCCTCTGATATGACATTTTAGCTTACCTTCCGCGTAGGGCAGACCTGGTGTTTGCTCTTGTTTAGACTTTAATGTAGCTCTTTAGCTGCGGAATCTTCAATGTTTGTGACTTTTGCCTTTACGTTTGCAGTTTTCCACTTCCTCCCCGCGCTCCCCAATAAGGCTGATAAGGTGTCACTCAGCTCTGGAGCGCTGTTGATTTATTTTGCAGCAATGCCTATGATAAATGATCTGACTTGGTGATCCTTGAGGAATTCAAGGGGCTGTTTGGCCCATTTGCTTTTCAATATGTAGGGTACTTTAGGGTCAAGAGTTAAATTGAACAGGATTCTTTTTAGGAATAATGAAAGTGCGAAGATGCCAAGTAGGAAACAGATTCCTTCCAATCTTCGGTTAAGTATAAAGTGAGTCCCGCTTTGGAGGATTAATTATCGTGTATTTCAGTTTCAGTAGCCACGATGAGAACAGTTTTTGTGGATGTATAACCAGTCCAGTGCTTAAAAAAATTAAATCTTTCATTGTGGTACAAGATCGAGTCCAAAAGAAAAACAATTATATTGTTTTCCATTGGAAAAGTTTTAAATTAGGAATTTTAAAATACCGTATTCTGGTATTACGTGAGAGTAATATTGTATAATTCCTTTATTTTGTAAACTTTGTAGTGTAATTTAAGTGGGCTGCTTGTTAGATAAAAATTTGGTTTTAAGACAATTATGAAATACTTGAGGGACACTAAGTGCATTTTATTGTCTCAAGTTTATGTGCGTGGCATGATTTACATAGTTTTAGCTTAAAGAAAAAAAAAAGCTTGTGGGTAATAATGAAATTCCCTAACTCAAATAGCCATATCGTAGATTGGAGGAATTTAATATACATCTTTATGGTGTGTATTTTGCCATTACTTTTTGACAAGCTTAGTTAACAGAGGAAATTTACTGGATAACCATGTGTGTATTGTTTAGAAGCCTTTAAAAACTAGTTTTAAAGGAGTTAGAAGCCTTTAAAAGCTAGTTTTAGCTCAGGAAATACCGAGTTTGAAGTTCACTCTCTAGAGAAGTTGTAATGTTGCCATTGTTAAGGACTAATAATAGTGGAGAAGCCAGTTAACCAAAAATGCTGCACAATGACATCCATATAGTTCACTTATTTTAGATATCGAATAATTATTAGTCATTATTATAGAACAGGCGGTTCTAGCGTTATGGTGAAAGTAATTCACAAGGCCCGTTTTTAAAATTTGGACATCAGTGACTTCTTTTTAAAAGTGACAAAGTGTTTCATTGAAAAGTTTGTAAGGACACATTCAATTGGGTCTTTTATTTCGCTAACACTTACTGAAAGCTTTGTGGTATCCCTATATTAAGAATATTCAACAATGAGGAATTCGTTCACAAGGTATCAGCTTATATTTGGAGATTCAGTGCTAAGTAGGGCGGAGAAAAGATTTACAATTTGTGATTTAATGGGGAAAGCGTACAATTTAGCAGTAGAATGGGATAGGTTTTATCTTTGCCCTTGAAGAACTGAGAGACTCGTGGAAGAGACAGAAAAGGCATAAAGATGTTATAGCAGAGGCAAAACAAGTATGAGGAAAAAACCTCTTCCTCTGCCCCTTGCCCCGCCCCCCCCTCCCCCCCAATTCCTTAATAAAGCTTTCTAGGAAGAAGCTTGTTTTCAGTTGGAGAAGGGGAGTAGGATTGGGCAAGGGGAGGGGTGGTTTGCTCTACCACTGATATGAGAGAGAGCTTATACTTAAGATACCTAATAGTTTGCTGTGAGCTTCAGTTTAAAGTTTGGGTAATGGGGAGGATTGAGAAAGAGGGAGGGATAGGATGAATTAGGAGGTGACATTTGGTGTCATTTGATTCTTTTTTCCTTAATGTTATTCCTTTAGTCAAAGGTAAAGTTTACTTTGATGGAATTCTCTCTATTCCAATGCACAGCTCACCACTAAGTGAGGAGATTCATTTAGAATCAACACTCCTTATTTTTAGTTTGATGATGATATAAAAAGTCATTTCACTCTGACTTGCCCTAAATCACTTATAATTTTTAATTTAAGTAAGTCTGTTAAAGGATAGTTTTGCAAAATGTCATATATTCATAGGTTTGAGTTATTTTGACTCTACATTTGACTGACAGTTTTCTTCAAGAGAAATGTCATTTAATCATTCTGAGACTGGGGGGTGAGTTTTTCTGTTATGTACATAACATAATTGTGATATGAATTATCTGCACTTAGTACAATTGTGGAGACGCAGATACTAGTTTAATTCATTTTCTACATATGTCATATTCAAAAATTTGCTTTATGTAATTGTTAATATATGAAAGTGCTTTTATAATGATGTAGTAGATTCTAAGTATCTCTTTCATTTCATTAGTAAAGAAAAAGAAGTAGATATTTTCAAATTCTGTTGTTTAAAACCTGACAGTAATTTGACCTAGAATTCAGATTTGAAAATTATTATTGCATGTGAGAGACTATTATTTTTTATACTTAAAATTTTTACTGTTATAAAATTTCTTATTTCATATTATATAATGTTTTATTTTTCCTACCTATTCATAGTTTTGGAGGAAAGTTTGAAGAAGAAAGTCTAGAAAATACTAAAGTTGCAAATATATTTTCCCCCCCTAATGATCAGAGGAAGAGGAAAATTGGTCAAAATCATTGTTTTGAAGGTGGCCCATAACAGTAATAAACCAATAAAGAAAATTAAGCTCTCTGAGGGCCATGCAGTGTGTCAGCCAGAGCATCTTTGAATAGCAGTACATCACTACAAAGAAGCACAAGTGAAGATAGAATATTCCTTGTTCTTGGATATCTGGCACATTTTTAGGTGTTTCAGATCAGCTCCTATTTCACAGTGGCTACCTCAAACGCCTGGGTGGTCCCCCACCCCTATCCCCCGGACATGGATGTCTTATTCACTCCTTAAAAGCTTTCAAATAGCTCTAGATTGCCGACTGGATAAAAGCCTGATTTAAAAAAAAAATTTTTTTAAGTATGCCATACAAGCCCTTTCATGATGTGCTGTCTCCACCTGTAACACTTGTTCATTTGTACACATCTATACTTTCTTCCCTGAGAAAGAAAACCTCTTATCCAAGCTTGTTTGTTCTGCTAGTCTTGCTGGTTAAGGTAAAACCCCCATGAATCATACTTAAACCATGTTCCATCAGATATTTTCCCACTCCTTTTCAACCACCAGCTTCTTCCTTTAAACGTATAAATACACCTCAGTCTTTCATTTCACAAGCAAACAAAATACTTTCTTGACCTCCAACTTCTTTTGGTACATGTCCCTCTCTGACCTTCATTTCCTTTGCAGTCAGCTTCTTGGAAAAGTAGTCCATGTTCTCTGGCTCTTCAGTTCCTTACTTCCTGTCCACTGTAGTACTGTTTCTGTCCTTACTACTTATTAATTGCTAATCGCACTGATTATTTTCAATTTCTATCTCACTTGACCTCTCTTTAGCACTTGACATTGTTGACATTTCCTCTTTCTAAAAATTTATTTCTTTTCACTTCTGTGATTCAGTTATCTTCTGATATTCCTCTTTGCTCCATTTATTGTGTCATTTGTGGCCTTTTTTCCCTTAAATGCTGATGTTCCTGAGATTCTGGTTTGGTTTCAGTTTTATCTGTGTGGACTTCCCTTGTTCAGTCTCACTGTTTTGAGGGCTTTTCTTTCTCTTCTTTTCTCTCTTTGTATGTGTTGTTACTCCCAAATCTGCCTTTTAATTGAGACTTTATAGTCAGTTTTGGAATACATATTAATTACTTATTGACTCTCTGGATTTCAGTATTATTCAGACATCTCAAACTCATACCAAACCGATTTTTTACTACCCATGCCTACTCTTACCATATTTTTTATTTTTTTGTGGCATCATCATTACTCACACCAGAACGACTTTGCACATCTAGTAATTAAAATCTGTATTTCTACATCCCAGAGATAACTCTTGAACCTGTCCCCTTTAATAAATCTGTACTTTTAAATTTGTTTTAATTTATTCAATTATACAGTGAAGATTTGAGTTTCTGCTATATGTTATGCATGATGAATAAGTGTTGAAATTAGTTTTGAGTAAAAAATAACTTTTGTTTTAGGCACTTCTAATGGAATAGACACTAAGTAGATAATCAGAAGCAGGAAATGTAGCCAT